TTGGCGTCTGTTGGAGAAACGGTGCCCCATTGTTGGCTTCTGTTGGAGAAACGGTGCCCCATTGTTGGTGTCTGTTGGAGAAATGGTGCCCCATTGTTGATATCAGTTGGAAGAATAGTGTTTCGTATCAGTGAGAGGAATAGTGCCCCATTGTTGGCGTCTGTTGGAGAAATGGTGCCCCATTGTTGGCGTCTGTTGGAGAAACGGTGCCCAATTGTTGGCGTCTGTTGGAGAAATGGTGCCCCATTGTTGGTGGTGCCCCATTGTTGGTGTCTGTTGGAGAAACAGTGCCTCATTGTTGGCATCTGTTGGAGAAATGGTGCCCCATTGTTGGCGTCTGTTGGAGAACATTTGCCCCATTATTGGTGTCTGTTGGAGAATTGGTGCCCCATTGTTGATGTCAGTTGGAAGACTAGTGTTTTGTATCAGTGCGAAGAATAGTGCCCCATTGTTGGTGTCTGTTGGAGAAATGGTGTCTCATTGTTGGCATCTGTTGGAGAAATGGTTCCCCATTGTTGGCGTCTGTTGGAGAAAATTTGCCCCATTGTTGGCGTATGTTGGAGAAATGGTGCCCCATTGTCGGCGTCTGTTGGAAAAACAGTGCCCCATTGTTGATGTCAATCTGAAGAATAGTGTTTTGTATCAGTGGGAGGAATAGTGCCCCATTGTTGGCTTCTGTTGGAGAAATGGTACCCCATTGTTGGTGTCTGTTGGAGAAACGGTGCCCCATTGTTGGCATCTGTTGGAGAATTGGTACCCCATTGTTGATGTCAGTTGGAAGACTAGTGTTTTGTATCAGTGGGAGGAATAGTGCCCCATTGTTGGTGTCTGTTGGAGAAAATTTGCCCCATTGTTGGCGTCCTTTGGAGAAATGGTGCCCCATTGTCGGCGTCTGTTGTAAAAACAGTGCCCCATTGTTGATGTCAAATGGAAGAATAGTGTTTTGTATCAGTGGGAGGAATAGTGCCCCATTGTTGGCTTCTGTTGGAGAAACGGTGAATTGTTGGCATCTGTTGGAGAATTGGTACCCCATTGTTGATGTCAGTTGGGACTTTTGGAGGAATAGTGCCCCATTGTTGGCTTCTGTTGGAGAAAAGGTGCCCCATTGCTGGCTTCTGTTGGAGAATAGGTGCCCCATTGTGGCTTCTGTTGGAGAAATGGTGCCCCATTGTTGGGGTCACGGTGCCCCCATTGTTGGCGTCTGTTGGAGAAACAGTGCCCCATTGTTGGTGTCTGTTGGAGAAATGATGCCCCATTGTTGATATCAGTTGGAAGAATAGTGTTTTGTATCAGTGAGAGGAATAGTGCCCCATTGTTGGCGTCTGTTGGAGAAATGGTGCCCCATTGTTGGCGTCTGTTGGAGAAACGGTGCCCAATTGTTGGCGTCTGTTGGAGAAATGGTGCCCCATTGTTGGCGTCTGTTGGAGAAATGGTGCCCCATTGTTGGTGTCTGTTGGAGAAATGGTGCCCCATTGTTGATGTCAGTTGGAAGAATAGTGTTTCGTATCAGTGAGAGGAATAGTGCCCCATTGTTGGCATCTGTTGGAGAAATGGTGCCCCATTGTTGGTGTCTGTTGGAAGAATAGTGTTTCATATCAGTGAGAGGAATAGTGCCCCGTTGTTGGCGTCTGTTGGAGAAATGGTGCCCCATTATTGGCGTCTGTTGGAAGAATAGTGTTTCATATCAGTGGGAGGAATAGTGCCCCAAGGACCAGATAAAGGCATGTAAAGGGCCACAGTTTGAGGACCACTGTTCTATAGTGTGTACTTGTCTCAGTTCAGAGCACTAAGTGTAATTTCTGTCTGCTGCCTCCTTCCTCTGCTATCAGCATGAGTCACTCCTGACACGTTTTCCTGACACCAAGAAAAAAATGGTGACTCAGGAGGGACCTCCTGCAGATTGACAACTTCAGCTCTGTTCCTGTGAGGTGTGTGGAGGGGTGGTTGGGGGTCTTCCCTCCAATCAGCTCTCAGAACTCCCCTCACTGAGCTCTGCAGAGCTCTGCAGCTCCCCGTTCCCCATTTTCTGAACTTTCAGACAAGCTTTATGAATTCTTGACTTTGAATGGCTGTAGAACAGAGTAGACTTGAGATAAACGGGTACAACTTATATAGGAGGATTTGTTTATTATCTGTGTATCACCTGAGGCCAATCGCTGCACTGGGTATATGGAAGGGTTTACAACCACTTTAACTTTCATAAGTAGTTGAAATTTCATGTTAGTAAAGTAACTCTTCCTCCATAATAATTCTTCTTCTTTTCTATTGATGGTAAATAAGCAGAAGCAACGTGCCATCATTGAGATCTTGATGAAGGAGGGGTGCAGCTCTGTCCAACGTCCACAGAAGGCCACAGAATGTTTACAAAGATGACACCATTGACCAGAGCAATTTCTTCTCTTTTTGGTGACTCTTGTTAATGGTGTCATCTCCGTAAACATTCTGTAGCCTTCTGTGGATGTCGCACAGCCTGCACTCCTCCTTCATCGAGAACTCAATGACTGCACATTGCTTCTGCTTGGAATCTATTTTTAACCTTTTATTATCAACTTATGTTCATATTCATTCAAATTTCACATGTTGGAGGAGTAATTCTTCCTCTATAGTAACTCTTCTTCTTCTTTTTCATTGAAGGTAATTATTGGATTCCAGACAGAAGCAATGTGAAGTCATTGAGTTCTCGATGAAGGATGGGTGCAGGTTGTCCAACATCCACAGAAGGCTGCAGAATGTTTATGGAGATGACACCATTGACGAGAGTCACCAAAGACAAGACATTGCTCTTGTCAATGGTGTCATCTCCATAAACATTCTGTAGCCTTCTGTGGATGACGGACAGCTTGCACCCGTCCTACGTCAAGAACTCAATGACCACACGTTGCTTATGCTTGGAAGCCATTTTTAACCTTTTGATTATTAACGTTCATTCATATTCATTAAAATTTCCAATGTTGGTGGAGTAACTCTTCTTTAGTAACTCTTCTTCTTCTCTTTCATCGCAGGTAAATATTGGAATCCAAGCAGAAGCAATGTGCAGTCATTGAGTTCTCGATGAAGGAGGGGTGCAAGCTGTTCGACATCCACAGAAGGCTAGAGAATGTTTATGGAGATGACACCATTGACAAGAGTCACCAAAGACAACACAATGCTCTTATCAATGGTGTCATCTCTATAAACATTCTGTAGCCTAGCCTTCTGTGGAGGTCGGACAGCCTGTACCCCTCCTTCACCAAGAACTCAATGACCGCACATTGCTTCTGCTTGGAATCCATTTTTAACATTTGATTATTAACTTACATTTATATTCATTAAAATTTCAAATGTTGGTAAAGTAACTCTTCTTCTTTTTCATCACAGGTAAATATTGGAATCCAAGCAGAAGCAATGGTGTCATCTCTGTAAACATTCTGTAGCCTTCTGTGGATGTCGGACAGCCTGCACCCCTCCTTCATCAAGAACTCAATGACCGCACATTGCTTCTGCTTGGAATCCATTATTTACCTGCGATGAAAAAAATAAGAGTTACTATAGGAGAAGAGTTACTCTACCAACATGTGAAATTTAACCTCTTTACACTGAGTGTACGCCTCTTGGTAGCTGGGCCTTAACACCGAGCGGCCGCATATTTGCGTACCATTTGTAAACAATCTTGCTTAGAGCACGCTCTGACCCACAGAAAGGTCTAGATCTCTCCTTGTGATCAGGACCTTTACGATCATGTGACCGCCGTGACAGCCAATCACGGCGGTCACATAACCCTAAACCCCGCCCTGCCTCCCGGTGCCAGAAACCCCTTAAAGGGCCTGGAGGCTCCAGTGAAAGGGGTTAGGTGAGCTACAGGCAGGGCTTTTTTTTTCAGCAGAAACACAGGGGAATTTTTACTTAACCATGCAGTGTGCCCCCACTGCATGGATGGGCTGCTCATTTTTTTTTTTTATGGGTGAGGTCACCTGACCCTCTGATCCTATGGAAAACCGTGCTCCCCCACAGTCCAGCGGCGGACTGTTATTGTCTGTGGAGCACGCATTGAGCGTTCTGACATCAGGAACAGTCTTTTTACAAGAGCTGTGGACCGTGGGGGGCAGGAGCCAAAAAGACCAGTCTTGTTTGGGGAGGATCGGCAGGTCAGGTGAATATGTCTTCGGTGTCCCCTTCCCTTACAACAAAATGAGCATTTGATCCATGCAGTGCCAGCACACAGCCCCACGGCGCGGGCCAAAAAAAACAGCCTCTGGACCATGGGGGGGGGGCAGGAGCCAAAAAGACCGGTCTCGTTCAGGGAGGATCGGCAGGTCAGGTGAATTATGTCTTTGGTGTCCCCTTCCCTTACAACAAAAACGAGCATTTGACCCATGCAGTGCCGGCACAGCCCCACTGTGCGGGCCGAAAAAAAAAAAACCTCTGGACCATGGGGGGGGGGGGGGGGGGGTCAGGAGCCAAAAAGACCGGTCTTGTTCAGGGAGGATTGGCAGGTCAGGTGAATATGTCATAACAAAAAGGGGTTAAAAGACCGGGATGCCCATGACCATGTATAAATCAATAATGACCAGGGGGGGTTCTCAACAGAACAGCCCCAAATGCTGCAGGATAATAATGGCCGACTCGCATGTAAATCACCTTGTGGTGTCCTTGGAACCAGATATGACATAGAAAAAAGGAGGCAGTTTGTTCCTCATTGGGACCTCTTGACTTTAGGGGTTCTTTTCCCTTGGTCTCCCTCCTTTTTTCCAGGTGAATATGTCTTTAGTGTTCCCCTTCCCTTACAACAAAACGAGCATTTGACCCATGCAGTGCCGGCACAGCCCCAATGCGCGGGCCAAATAAAAAAAAAAATTTCCTGGATTTCTGCTTTCAGAAACTCTGGTGTCAATGCAGAATTAATTTATTCTTTGTGGGGGGGGGGGGGGGTATTTCCCTCCTAGAAGTAGAGAATTCCTAGGAATACGAAGCTGTGCAGTCTTTATTTGCACCAAATGTTGATGAAACATCTTTTGGTTCAGGTTCCATTCTGGAATGGGTGTAACCAGGATGAGCGCTGCGTCCCCGACCTCTACTTGGATGTGAAGCACGATATCCCGACTGCCATGTACGTGTATGCGTAAGTCTGTGCCGTGTGTGGAATCTATCTGTGATCCGTGTATGGAATGTATAAACCTCTGTATGTAATATTTACTCGTGGAGCATTGGTAGATGTCACGTCTCTGGAACCCATTAGGAACATGTGTGCGAGGTGGAACGTCTTCTCTATTGTCTACATAAAACGCCACATAAATTGTTACAGAAAATTACATTGCATAAACGCAAAAAGTTTAAAAATTGATGACTTAAAGTACAGATATAATACTCATGCCGTGCCACAAATAAACGAGACGCGGCTGCAAGCACCTAAATGTGTTCCCACATCAATAAAACTTCCCGAAAATAGTGCTGCGCTGCCCTCTAGTGACCCAAAAAATACACAAATAATAAATAAACACCCTCCTGAGCATCAAACCCAATGTGTTAGAGTATTAACTTCACAGCTCAGCCAGGGTTTATTGTAGGTTTGGCCAGGTGTTTATTGCTACTTGATTTTTGTTTATTTTTGATATATGTTTCACATTCAGATGGGCAACAGCAGGCTACTGGGATTTTCACGCAAAACCATCTCTAGGGAAAAAACCGAGACTCATCAGACCAGGCAATGTATTTCCAATCTTCTTTTGTCCAATTTTGGTGAGCCGGTAGGGAAATTTGTGGCCTCCGTTTTTCCTGTTCTTAGCTGACAGGAGTGGCACCCAGTGTGGTCTTCTGCTGCTGTAGCCCATCTGCTTCAAGGTTGGACATGTTGTGCGTTCAGAGATGGTATTCTGCATGCCTTGGTTGTAACGAGTGTTATTGGACTTACTGTTGCCTTTCTTGAAGGCCACAATTCCGCACAAGCTCACCAAAATTGGGACAGAAAAGATTGGAAAAATGTTAGCCTGGTTTGATGAAGTTTTTGGTTTCCCTAGAGATGTTTTTTCGTCAGACAGCATCGGGAAAATCCCAGTAGCCTGTGTTTGCCACATCTGAATGTAGATCAGCAGTATTTTTGAATTTTTCAGACCAGTCCGTCTGGCACCAACAACCATGCCACTCATTCCAAATATCACTTTTTTTGCATGAAAATCCCAGTAGCCTGCTGTAGCCCATCTGCTTCAAGGTTGGCACCAACGTGTTGTGCATTCAGAAGATGGTATTCTGCATACCTGCTTTGGTTGTATTAACCGCGTGGTTATCGGAGTTACTGGTTGCCTTTCTATCATCTCCTAAGCAACCAGTCTGCAGCTGCCCATTCTCCTCTGACCTCTGACATCAACAAAGCATGTTTCCTTCACGCAACTGCCACTCACTGGATATTTTCCCTCTCTTTTTTGGACCATTCTCTGTAAATGCTGCGAGATGGTTGTGCCTGAAATCCTAGTAGATCACAATTTAGAAATACTTCAGACCAGCCCGTCTGGCACCAACAACCATGCCACGTTCAAAGTCACTTAAATCCCCTTTTTCTTTCCCCATTCTGGATGCTCGGGTGGGTTTGAACTTCAGCAAGTCACCTTCACCACATCTACATGCCTAAATGCATTGAGTTGCTGCCGTGTGATTGGCTGATATAGCAATTTGTGGTAGTACCAAACCAAGTTGAGAACAGGTGGACCTGATAAAGTGGCCGGTGAGTGTGCATAATCCTCACTTTTTATACAGTCAGTCAGTTAATTATATTTCTCTTTGTTTATTGACTGTAATACCGTTCATACAGAACGTCCCCAAGCTTCACATTCAAAGATTTCTCTCTGTAAATTCCCTCTTCACCTCATTAGCTCATCTAATCCAGATTGTCTGAGCTCTCCTCCCTGTAATGAGGTGGAGAATTTATTGAAAGCACACAGTCTCCGTAATGCAAAACATTACCATCATTCCAGGAGTGTCCTGAACGTATAGGGTTACTTACCTCAAATGTCTGGATGGTAATAACTGGAGGCTCTCGATGGACAGGGGAAACTTCATTAAAGGGGCACCAAAGAGAGACTCCGGGACCCGGGGATAAATTCTGCCGAGACTCACAAAAACGAATCTTCACATTATCGAGAGTAAATTTTTCATTGAACTGGAAAATCCCCCCCCCCCCCCCTCCACTTTCCACACCAGCACATTGGTAGCCGAATTAAACATCTGCTCTAGATTGCTCGCAGTTATGAAAGTAATAAAGTAAAGTTGTCTAAACAGAAGAAAGGATCCACCTCGTTCCCCTAATCTCCGAGTCTGGTCTGGGGCACATAACTCGGTGCCGTCTGCTCTTCTCGCAGGAAGGTAATTTTTACAAATATTGGGACGGTGGAAAATTTTAAGTAGGCCACATTCTTTCCCTCTTAGAAGTAAAATACCAAGCACGATGCTAAGATTGAAAACAAAGTAAGTCTTGAGGGCACCGACCAAAACCCGTTCTGAGCCCCTAACTACCAAAGATGAAGGGAAGCCTTGAGATGGCATGGAAAGAAACGCATCGTGCACTATACAGACAAGGCCAGACTGGGAGCAAAGAGGGCCAGAGAACCGGGCACTCCAGAGAAGGCGTCCTACCCTCTCCTCATTCTGTCTGTGCTGGGACAGCTCCTTTGCCCCTTCATCATCACCTCCCTACATAACCTTTTATGCAGCTAATCAGGAAGGGAAGGGGTTGGGGGAGTGAAGTAAGGATGCTGAGCTCCGGGTGCCCAGTCCGAACTTGGAATCCCGAATTCCATGTACGGCAACAAACCATAACTTCCACTACACCTAAAGGGGCAAAATGACTGACGCATTCCTATTCCTCTCTAGACACCTATTTACCTGAAACAATGAGGCATCCAATACCTTCCACTCTGACACTCCGGAGCCCAGTGGGGCATTTCACCCCAATTTCTACTGATCCGTACCTTATTAATAACCAGGTGATACATTCCCTCCACCGGACACTGAGAGACGATCATTATCTAAATTCGTCAGAGTCATTATTCTAGGTAATAGTAGGGGATGAGCCTGGGTTCGCGGTCGTAAACTCGGCTGGTAAACCCAGTATAGACATTTGGAATCCCCCCTTATGGAGATCAGATATATCATCCCCCTTATTATTATAACATAGAGATCATATCCCCCCCTTGATGTATTATATACATAGAGATCATATCCCCCCTTATGTATTATACATGGCGATCATATCCACCCCCCCTTATGTATTATACATGGAGATCATATCCCCCCATGATGATTTATACATGGACACGCATCATATCCCTCCTTTATGTATTATACATCAGGAGATCATAACCCCCCTTATATATAATTGAAATACATGGAATCATATCCCCCCCTTATGTACTTTTCATACCATATCCGCCATTGTGGAAGATCAGATATCCCCCCTTATGGTATTATACATGGAGATCATACCCGCCCCCCTTATTATTTATACATGGAGATCATATCCCCCGTATGACGAATTATACATGGATGATCATATACCCCCCTTATGTATTATACCATGAGATTCATGATCCCCCCCTTAGTATTATACAAGTGGGAGATCATATCCCCCCCCTTATGATATTATACATGGAGATCATATCCCCCCTTATGTATTATACATGGAAGATCATATCCCCCTTATGTATTATACATGGAGATCATATCCCCCTTATGTATTATAACATAGGAGATCATATCCCCCCCCTTATGTATTATACATGAGATCATCCCCTTATGTATTATACCATGATAATCAATATCCCCCTTTATGTTAATATACATGGAGAATCATATCCCCCCATTATGTAATATACATGGAGATCATATCCCCCCCTTTATACATGTAATTATGAACACCATGTAGATCATAATCATATCCCCCCTTAGTAGCGTATACACATGGAGATCATATCCCCCCCCTTATAATCTATTATACATGGAGATCAATCATCCCCCCTTATGTATATATACATGAGAGAGCATATTCCCCCTTATGTATTATACATGGAGATCATAGTCCCCCTTATGTATTATACATGGAGTCATCATCCCCCCCTTATGTATTGGATTCATAATACATGTTATTAGATCATATGCCCCCCATATGTATTATACACTAGGGAATCATATGATCCCCCCCCATTATGTATATATACAATGAGAACATATGCCCCCCTTTTGTATCTTATACATGTGAGATCATATCCCCCTTAATGTATTATACATGGAGATCATATCCCCCTTATGTATTATACATTTATTATTTTTGGATCATATCCCCCCTTCTTATTATACATGGAGATATGCATATCCCCCCCCCCCTTAATTGTACATATTAGATATACATGGAGATCAATAATCTATCCCCCGTATGAAATTATACATGGAGATCATATCCCCCTTATGTATTATACATGGAGAATTCAATATCCCCCTTATGTATTTATACCTGGAATCATATCCCCCCCTTACTGTATTATTAACATGTAGATCATATCCCCCCTTATGTATTATACATGTGGATATCATATCCCCCCTATAGATTATTATACATGGAGATCACATATCCCCCCTTATGTATTATACGTGGGAGATCATATCCCCCCCTTATGTATTATACAAGTTGGAGATAATCATATCCCCCCTTTATGTATTATAACATGGAGATCAATATCCCCCCCTTATGTATTATACATGGGAGAATCATATCCCCCCCTATGTATTATACATGGAGAATCATATCCCCCTGAACATTATGTATTATACATGGAGATCATAAATCCCCCCCCCCCCTTATGTATTAACATTAATCATAATCCCCCCCTTATATATTATACATGGAGATCATATCCCCCCCCTTATGTATTATACATGGAGATCATATCCCCCCCTTATGTATTATACATGGAGATCATATCCCCCTTATGTATTATACATGGAGATCAATATATCCCCCCCCCCCCTTATGTATTATATCCATAACCCCCCTTATTAGATAAACATGGAGATCATATCCCCCCTTATGTAATTATACATGGAGAATCATATCCCCCCTTATGT